AAAATATCTTTATTATTAATGTTAATTGTAATTTTTATTCATAATATTGATTACTAACTATGTATATTAGGTTAACAATGCATTTTGAAAAATAAATTTTGCAAAATAAAAATCAAAAAAAAGTTTAAGATTTTTTATTTATTGTTTTTAAGGTTATTTTGAATTCGCTGTGAAGAGAATGCAACCCTGCGCCAGCTGAAGTGGGCAATGCTAGACGAGTGCAGCTATATGTTTTCCTTACGAAGTATCTGAATGAGTGCGACAGTGATGCAAGGATCACACGTACAGGGGGAAAGTGGTGACAATCTGCACACCGCCCATACAAATGTCCCAGTTTTGTCACCAGTTTTGAAGTGACTGAAACCCGCGGTTTCACCAGATTTTTCACCACTTTTGGCTGGCAGGGCTGACTGCTATTGGAACAGACTAAGGCTTTCTGCACATTGGTCGTCCAATCACGGTTGCTTCATCGTTACAATCATGATGCAACGATTACATGACGACTACACTTACGCACACTCGGTCGTGATATTTCAATTCATTTGGCGTCTAAAAATTCACTTGGAGCAGGTATTGTCTGTTTTTCTTGTTGATATTTCCGCGAAATATTTACAAAAACCTGCAATTTTTTAAATATAGACTGTGCTGCAACAATTCTAGGTATCATTTTTCAGAAATATCTCTTCTTTTCTTTTCCTGAAATGTGTTTTGTGCATGCACACAGAGAGTTTTTACAATTTCGTCACATTTTATAGTTAAAACGCACACATTTATGGAGTTTTAATACAATTATCCACTTTTTAATAATTTCCACAGATTTTATTCAAAAAAATACTAATTTTTATGCAATTTTAATGCAAAGATCAACTTTTCCACTAATTTTTCCCCATAAAATGTAAACAAACAATGCGTGTACAACGATTAGTAAACGACAGCGCCGTACTTAACCGTTTCCAGATCTTCTACGATTTGCCGATAACTAGCCGATAACGACAAGTGTGCAGATCTCATTTGAAATGCACGTGCTCGGGTCAAAATTTCAGGGGTAGACGATAACGCACGACAAGTGTGCAGATAGCCTAATTATGTACGCACAAAAGTCGATGCATCGAAAAAAGTCCATCGATATATCGATGTATATCGGAAAGTCGAAAACATCGGTTATATTCGATACAGAATAGCAAACATCGATGTTTTTTTTTGCATCGCTGGAAAGATGGCAAGCTTGAGCAGGTATGGACGTATATTCAAACAAAGTTAAATAGCGAAATCTATTGAACGCAGTATTTTCATGGTGTTAGGGTCGATGGTAACAACAAATTGTGTTGTTACGCGCATCCAGACGCACCACTAATTGAGGACTATCGGGCTGGAGACATGATATGTTCGGATTGTGGGCTTGTAGTTGGTGACCGCGTCATTGATGTGGGATCTGAATGGCGTACATTTAGTAATGAGAAAAGCGGAGTTGACCCCAGTCGCGTTGGTGGGGCGGAAAATCCATTGCTGGGTGGCAGCGATTTATCTACTATAATTGGACCTGGGACCGGGTCCGCTTCTTACGATTCTTTTGGCGCACCAAAATATCAAAATAGGCGCACAATGAGCAGTTCCGACAGGTCATTGATTTCAGCTTTTAAAGAAATCTCAACGATGGCTGATCGAATAAATCTCCCAAAAACCATAGTGGATCGTGCGAATAACCTTTTCAAACAGGTATGTTATGAATATGTATGTACCAATACACCCCGCGGGTACTGTTTATGAATTTGTACAACGATTTTGGATTGCTGTGCCCAAACGCATGAATCGAATCAAAAAACTTGTACACACACTTGTAGACAACAGTTCACGCTTTATTACAAAAATTTAATTTACTAAATCTGTGCACTAATTTAACAATAATGTCGGTTGGAAATATGGTATTTGTTGCAAATTTTTGTTATAAATTTGTATATACATTTTTATATACAAGATATTTTTATAAAACACCCAGTAACCAAAATAGACATCACTGGGGCGGCAGCCCCAGGTTTACCACACAGAAAGGGAATTCTAGTTACCTCATCCTTTCCCAAGGTTACATCACTGGGGCGGTAGAAAAAAATCTAAAATTCCCCTATTTTCAAACAGCTCCCCATAGGTCTGTGGGAGGGGTTGGGGGGGAGGGGTGACTTTTCATAAAGCGGCGTCAATCCTCTTTCGTTTAGGGGGGATTTGTGGGGCCCACACCCCCTCCCCCTCCGCCCCCACCCATAAATCGTTGTACAAATAGCTAAACATTTCCCCACCCCGCTATTTATAGTTTTGGATATATTTGTTCAGATACTTGTGTCTGAATCTCGCCCTCTCCAAACCCCCCCTAAACTCCCCCCATTCTAAAGAGGACAGTCCCCACTTTACGAAAAGCCACCAAATAGAATTCTCCTTTTGGTGTGCACCAACTGGGGCTACCGCCCCGCCTTGGGGAAGGATGAGGTAACTAGAATTCCCTTTCTGTGTGGTAAACCTGGGGCTGCTGCCCCAGTGATGTCCATTATTTATTAAATTAAATAAATTAAATTAAATTACAGATTAAATAAATATTTGCCATGGAAAGGTTTATATTTTTAATGCTTACTGAGTTATATCTTATCTTTTGTCTCTCATTCTTTTTCCCAAAACACCCCCCAATAGAAAGGAGACAGTCGCCGCTTTCTAAAAA